TTCGTTTAGAACTCTGGGGTATTTATAGATGAGTTTGATGTTACCTGATGTGGCTGCTTGCAGGAGGCAGGCTGATAGCGTCTGACATGGGGTTGGCGTGGCGTGAAGAACCAAGCCTGAGTTAGGTGTTAATGCTGACTTCCTCGGGCAGTGTGTTGTCCAGACATGGCTGACGTCATGGCGTGTCACATCGCCATTTTTACCCTTATCACATAGAGTGGGTCTTAAAGAGTTAGTATATACGAGAGAGTTAATATATATGGGAGGGGTTAGGATAATATGGTTGTATACCTCTCGAGAATTTTACATCGGATGAAAGCTTTGGTCATCGGGTTGTATACCACCCAAGGAAAAGTTCGAATGCAAGTAGTGTGTCTCATTGAGGGACTTGATCATACAGAGGTATGATCAGTGCGGTTAGAGAGTTGGACCGTTCCAGAGCTCATATTCGCTTAAGGGAGCCCGACAAATTAGAGTATAAGACCGAATAAACGAACATTATTATCAAGGAAGCTAAGGAGAACAAAATTGATGAGAACCCTACAACATGATGGCAAAGGCCATGCATAGGAGTTACAGTCAATCTTTATATCGACCAAGGAAAACTGTTGGGAGAACATAGAGATGTTGAAGCATGGGGTCGAAAGGGACGAGGAAGAGACAACGAGTCCAAAAGAACTTAGCTATCCAAAATAAAGCATCGGTTAAAATGGAGGTGAAATTAAAGGAGTGCCAAATAGATATATCTACCGATCATGAAAAAATTGATAGTAGAGTCATGGGCATGGCAGCACCATAGTACTACAGAGGTAAGACTTTAATGAAATCATCGATCCCTTGTTCTCATAAAGGAAGAACGCTCGGTCATAAAACGAACCAAGAATGTGGAGTACACAGAGACAAAGTTCAAGTATCAAAGACAAAACTGAAGGAGAGAGAGTGGAACATTTAGTGTCTAATTGTTTATCCATATAAACTATAATTGTTTATAAGACGTCATCATTTGTCATGTAAAATTTTGCTCCAATGAGCTGTAAGGATTTATTACAAAGTGGTGAAAGTCTTTGCAATTGAATATCACTTTTTATTATTTTTAATAACATTTTGTCCATAGTATTTAGTTGCTTTTTAGATCAAATCAATGGTCATGTATTTTTAGTTGTAATGTGATCTCGAGTCTTTTTAGTTCTGATAGGGTTAAGAGATTCTTTTAAGACATTGAGAGGTATGTTTAGATAATTCTAATCATATTTTTTTAAACAGGATTTTTAGGAAAATCTTTTAGAGTTTTTGGAGAATAAAATTCTCTTGTCGTAAGTAAACATAGTCTCTTGTACTACCACGACAAGAAAGATGACTTCGACAAGGCCTTAAACAGCATTCTAATGAAGTCTCTCAGTTATCACATGGAAGTAGGCTCTACTTTCTACGGTCCTCCACGCGAAATGTTACCCCTGTAGGGACCCCACCACCTGAAGTCTACACAGCCCCAGAAGTCCAACCTCCCGAATCACATGTAACACAAATCACGCATCTCAAATTACAATCTCTGATTTCTCACACGACTTCCGAAGTTGGTAGCATTCCATCCCCTCTTTCTCTCCCCGCCCTGTGTAGTAGTGTTCTTCCATCTCATCTCATTTCATGATGACCCGTCACGGGATCCGATGCCGCCCCAATAGTAGCCAGCAAATCATCTGAGTTGAAGTCTCCTTCAGGTGCGATAGATGATGGAGATTAAAGCAGACAATAAAACGCAACTGCTGTCTAGACCGAGGGAAGGAAGGAGACTCTGTACACGTAACGCAGCACCCTGCTACCCAAGCGATAGACTGCCAGTATTGTCTCCTCCGCCAAGCCTTTTTCTGGCTCGGTTCGTCCGCCAACCAAGGCTGGCCGTGCGCACGAGATCAAATGACGGAAAAGGAGAGGGGAGAGCAGATGAGCATTTATTAGGAGTACAACACGGGTGACCAAACAGACTATTCTCCTTCCTCCTCTTCTGTCTGTGACTCGGACAGGAGGTGGAGAAATGGCCAGCGAACAGAGACGAAATGGCGGTTGTTTAACGTACAATTTTGTACATAGCTTCTAGAAGAAACCACAAACTCCCTAAAGGAAAACCAGATCAAATAGAGAATTGAAGAAAAAGTCATTTTCTTCTCGGTTTTTGGCCATTTCGCTTCATCGGAGGATTCGAACCCACTCGAAGCGGCCGTCCAACGGAACGTCGCCGATGACGTCGTAGTTGTACCTGCGGCGAAGCGGAACCCAAAAAAGTGAAGGTTTCAGCTTCAAGAAAACGAACAGAGAGAGAGAGAGAGAGACGAAATACGAGCATACTCGGCGGCGAAGCGCTGCGCCTGCTCCCTCTCCGCCGCCGCGAAGAACTCCTCGATCTCCACCTCTGTCTTCGTTCTTGAAGTCGATGTTGCTGTGGTTGATTTCCGATCGCTCGCTTCGCGTCGTGCATCTCTCGAGGGGGTCGTCTCTCTACCGAAGAGAAAGCAGGGAATCCTAAACTAAAAAACATTGCAAGAAGAAAAGGCGGGAAGTTTGATAATTGTAAGCGCACAAACCTCGCTCTTCTGGATCCAAAATTGCACGTCAAGCGCTCTAGACCCTCGCCCTCCTGAACCGAAGGAAGGAAGAAGAAGCAAGAACTGACGTGAATTCGAGGCGAACGAGTTCGAATCTCAACAGGGATTTCGGATTCCGACGACTCACCTGCTCATCCACCACCACGTCGCCGGAAACGTTGCTCGAGCACCGGGAGACACCCTCCACAGCAGGGCCGGTGCTGTAGGCAGCCGCATTCGCTGCCAGCAGCCTTGGTTTCCGGAATGTCATGAAGAGGCGGCGGCTCCGAAGCTGGAGGTAGGACGACGTCTGCACAACCTCCGTCGTCCGCTGCGGCGCCGTCTTCCTCCGCTTCGAACTTCTGGCGGAGGCCGCGTCAGCGGCGACGGCCACGGCGGGGACCCGTGCCCTCCTCCTCACCCCCACCACCTGGGTCACCTCCATCACCGAGAGTTTCTCGACCCCTCTGCTGCACTTCCTCGTGTACTTCCCCATGCCTCGCCCTCTTTATCCTTTCTCACCGAGAAGCGCAGGCTAAAACCGGAGAAAAAACTGTGGATCTGATCCAAGCTAACCGCCTCAGCGTCGCAGTTACTTTTGCGTTTTTCCCGTTCACACGATTTCGACACAAGCCGAAGGCGACGTGCCGTCGGACCAGACTCCCGCTTTGGTCCACCCGCAGAACCGGTGGCAGATTCTAGATTCCGGTGAAATCACATGGATCGGGGAGAGAAACGGGATGCTGCCGGTCGTGCGAGGGGTTCGTTATGTCCGGAACCCTTGTTTGGCGACAAACTGCTCTGGCAATAACTGTGGTCAGGCTTCAATTACCATATATCTCCTATCCTTGTTATTGAATCACAGTGATGCCACTCACCGCCCCAGATTCTCCTTTGCGTCCGGTGAACCGTTGATGCGGATATCGCAAGTTCGTCCGTCTGATTCACATCAAATGGTCAGAAGAAGATGATGAGATTTTTAAAAATCAGTTTGAATTTTTAAAAGATTAACAAATATAGATATCTAATACTTACTTTTTCTTGGCTATTATTTAGGTTTATTTAAATTTCAGCCGGAAATAACAGCTTATAATTAAGGATAAATATTTATGACTCACTGGTCGTTCGACGTCCGTTATATTGTCACCGTGAACTCTGCTTAAGCTTATTACCATCGTCGTCGTCCATCCAGATCATCGTACGGCCCACGTGGAAACTCTTTCTTTTAGATTAATGCGTACTGATCAAAAGGAATCCAAGGTCCCAATGGGACTCGTGGTGGCTATGCGTTCACCCACAGTCGCCGCCCGATGATAAGCTGATGCCGAATCGGAGACAGCGTGGGGCCATAGATGGGTTCCAACGCCAGGGGAGGTAGGCGCGGAGGATAAGATGTAAGTGGGTAGCAAAAGCATTGCTGCTGTGAAGGTACGGAATAGGGCGGCTATCTGTGCGCGTTCAGGGAAGGGGATGAGTGACTGGAGGTGTGCCGGCTCGAGGTTGGGATCGTCTCGGACCGTACGATTGGGAGAGCAGCGGCGTTGGATGATTTGGGTAAACAGCCAAGAAGAGAGTGAGCGTGGAAGATTCCAAGCAGGGCTGGGCTAACGAAGGGAAAACGCTGCGCCTTTTTTCCGTTCATCTTCCTTTTGTCATCGTAGTGGCGCTGACACAGTGGGGAGAGTACGGCGGAAAGGGGGCAAAGCTACCTGTGTTAGTCAGGAAGAGAATAGTTCCCATGGTAGAGTGCATTTAAGGTGTCGGCGTCTTAACCACGGTAGAAGTGAGGTTAACGAGAGCGCTCTTGTCTTGTAGCGTGTCAAGTACGAGAGAGACAGACAAAAGTTGCTAATCTAAATTGTACAGCATGTAATAGAGTCACAAGCTATACAGCATGGGGATCAACATGCGTCCGTTAAATCATCAGAGGACAATGGCTTTATATGTGAATTCCATATAATGCGTTTTGTCATGGACCAACTCAAATCAAGGAGACGCACTCGATGCCACGAGGAACAATCCAAGGAATCCCTCATCCGAGAGGCGCAAAATCTCTCTTCGAATGGCTTATCTTTTCTCCGGCGTCAACAACTCGGCCATTAATGAAAGGACAGCAGCGCGGAATCCAAAGAGTCGGCTCCAATGATTTATGGCTGTGGAGTGAGATGGGGGAGGAGATAGGACACGCCTGGACTTGAATAGAGAAGAGGGGGAATAGCGTCGGGTTGGTGAGAGAGAGACGAGGGAGGTAGCACATGGGGACAGGCAGGAAAAGCCTATGTTCAGAAATAGGACACTGTTGGGGTATAGAGCATGTATTAGCTGCATTGGTGTAGGCTGACAAAAAGTGACTCGTAGGCTTATCCCAAGTAAAAGAAGTTACTTTCCCACCGTGTTCGTCCCTACTCCGCCTCATGGAGCAGCACATCGGACAGGCTTATATAACAGTGATGTGCAGGAATAAGGACGCCTGTTCGGAAATATATATATATATATATATATATATATATATACTTTTTATTTTTTTAGATAGTATTATTTAAAAAAAAAAATTCAAAACCATCCTCTCTTATTTTAAAAGTTTCAAAAATACTCCTTCGAAAAGTTTTCTTTTGCCCAAATCTATTTACAGTGTTTTATGAATTGATTTTTACCCATAAAACACTATATAGTATTTTTTTTTTATAAATATTATATTTTTTGTTTTAAAAAGACTGTATAATTTTTTTGATATCATAGTCTTTTGAAACGAAAATACTATATAATGTTTTTGAAATATTATATAGTATTTTGTGGATACAAATTAATACACAGAATACTGTAAATAATTGACAACAAAAAAATACTGTGAATAATTTTTGGAGGATGTTTTTAAACTTTTTGAAACAGTGGATGATGATTTGAGAATTTTTAAAAATGATACCATGCAGGAAAAATATAAAAATAAGATATCTTTTCGGACAATCGCCTAATATTTTATTCTTCCGAATCTCTTATATATTTTTCATGAACGCTAAGCTAATAGAAAATTATTGATTGTCTATATGACCAATTTAGCTCGCTTAGGGAACTATGTCAATTTTTAGATTAATGATCAGTAATAGTGATCAAGAATTAGAAAAAGGATAATTATTTTTTTCATTTGTTGGTAAGTTTGGCATGTATAAATGATTCATCAAATCAATTTGAAACTTCTCGTGAGTACCTGATGATAATATTGTCTATGAGCTGTAGTATGATGATGTATAATCAATTGAGAGATGTGTACTGATAGTGGTGGTGGTGGTGACGAAGTGGTACTGCTCATCGTCTTTCGGCACGAGGATGAGTTTGTGGGACCTGTCTTTTGGGAAGAAAGATCGAGTGCTGCACTTTCCATGACCTCCAACGCGATGTAAAAGAGGAACGGGAATGAATGGGTCATGGAAAATGTGGGAGATTGAAGGTTGGCGGTGGGGACAAATGAATGAATTAAAAGGTATTTAAAGGTTTACTTGCTAATCAAGTAGGTAACCATTAATTTCATGTCCCAAGAGAGGTAATCGATACTAGCCTTTCCTTCTATTGCGTCTACATCTCTTTCCCAAATGGGTAGGGGAAGTAATTATATCTAATCGATCAAACTAACAAAATTAAGGAAAAAATAGATTATTTTTATTTTTATTTTATATCAAAGTATAATTTAAGAAAAAAAATATATAGATAACTTTTTCTAATTTTTTTTTTATGTTTCTTGAGAAATACTTTTCATGAGATTTTCAAACTGAATCAAATACCATAAGCCGCCTATTCTTTTCTCTCCTAATCGATTTATAGGATAAATCATTTCAATTACAGTATTTTTAACAAGACTAAAAAAATATTATAACATAATACAAAAATACCATGTTATAGTATTTTTATATTATGTCATAATATTTTTTTAGCATTGCTAAAAGAAATAATGTATTATAGTGACTTTTTTTTTATTTTTCTTCTTATTCCACTCTCATTGAAATGAATGCTTACGGAACTAAATCCCACCACTCGCTGCGCATGGATATTAAGGTCGAGATTGTTGACTTCAAGCTCCAACAGGCAATGGATCCCGATGCCGGAGTCGAGCGCGACCTCTCCCCCTTCCTTCGCATCTACAAGAGCGGCCGCGTTGAGCGCCTCCTCGGCACCGAAGTGCTCCCCGCTGGGACGGACCCCGCCACAGGCGTCGCCTCCAAGGACGTCCTGTTCGACCCCGACGCCGGCCTCTGGGTTCGCCTCTACCTACCGGACCTCGCGGGATGCACCCCGGACAAGAGGCTCCCCGTCGTCGTCTACTTCCACGGCGGCAGTCATACATATCTCCTTTGATTACCAGATGAAATTTTAATTTACTAGACTGGTCGAGCCCAGATAATGCGATTGGTCTGAGGCCCAATATCGATAGTCCAGGATTGACCGGCCTAGCCGGCTCTAAACGGTCCGACCCGGTTTCCTCCCGACCGCATGCATCGAATCTGATTCAGTCGAACCCAGTCAAACTGGTTTCGGTTCCAACCTGTTGGGCCGGACCGAATGCAGCAGCACAGTCGAAGGGGACCGTAATCTTACAAGAAATGGAAATAATTAATACTATCGGATTTCATTGAACCAAAAAATAATATTTATAATAAGAAGCCCACCTGCTGCCATCGGCGAGCTGGTGACTGTCGGTGGCGAAGGCCACCTACTGCACGAGGTGGGAGGGTGAATGAAAGACTTTGGATGCAACGTCCCAGCAAATCATTTCCCGTGTCACGAGTCCCGACAAGGGACCAACAACTTGTCATTACTCCACACCTTTCTTCCCTCAGGCCGGAACGCATGGTTCCCTGCGTCCCACGTCACGTATCCTATGGCTTGCCTTCGAAGGTACGCCCAACCATACCATGTTTTACCCACCTCTCGATTAGAATGTGTGGCATTCTAATCGGGTGAGGAAGGACCTTTGAGACGTTGATTAATGCACGTCCTCCCAAAACAGAATTGGCTCAGCAGATCGATATGCTGTATAGGGAGGTGCCATGTGGTTACGACTTCCTCAGCCCACATGTTCCTCTACGGTATGGATTTGTTACGACCTTTTACCGACCGCTCAAGCAATCGGCCCTCTCTCTTGCCCCTTTCCTGTCCCATTGAGCTCTTCGTCTCCCACTCTTCACTGCCTCATGGATCCCGAATCCGAGCTCGTATTCGACTTCCCACCTTTCCTCCGCCTGTACAAGAGCGGTCACGTGGAGCGCCTCATCGGCACCGACGTCGTCCCTGCCGGAGTCGCTACCGCCACCGGCGTCGCCTCCAAGGACGTGGTCATCGACCCGCAGACCGGTCTTTCTGCTCGTCTCTACATCCGCTGCTCCTCCGACGAATCCGGTAAGCGCAAGCTGCCTGTCCTCGTGTACTACCATGGCGGCGCCTTCGTCATCGAGTCTGCCTTCTCCCCCACCTACGACGGCTTCCTCAACAACCTCGTCGCCCGCGTCGACTTCGTCGTTGTGTCGGTGGAGTACCGGCGCGCCCCGGAGCACCCGATCCCCGCGGCGTACGACGACTCCTACGCGGCCTTGAACTGGGTGGCGTCCCACGCGGGGGGCAGCGGGGGCCCGGAGGCGTGGCTGGCCGAGCGCGGGGACTTCGGGCGGGTCTTCCTGGCCGGGGACAGCGCGGGGGCCAACATTGCCCACAACGTGTTGATGCGCACGCGGACGGACGCCTTGCCCAACGCGGTCCCGATCACAGGGCTGGCGCTGATACACGCGTACTTCTGGGGAAAAGAGCCGGTCGGATCGGAGCCGACGGATCCCATGTTTAGGCAGTGGCTGGAGACCACGTGGGGATTCGTGTGCGGATGGAGTTTCGGAATCGACGATCCGCGGGTGGATCCTTTCGGAGATCCGGCGATCCTGAAGGCGTTGCCATGCCGACGGGTGCTGGTGAGCGTCACCGAGAAGGACTGGTTCAGAGACAGAGGCAAAGCCTACTACGAGAAACTGCAGGAGAGCGGGTGGGAAGGGGAGGCGGAGCTGCTGGAGACGGAGGACGAGGAGCATGTGTATTTCCTCAGTAAGCCCGACTGCGACAAGGCTGCGGTGGAGTTGGACCGTCTGGTAAGCTTCTTAACCCGTGACTAAGTTCATATAATTACTCTGCTCTCTCGTGGGAACAAATTCGATGTCGAGGAGATATCCACGGAACAAAAATTGGAGTTTTAGTAAACGCAGTGCGAAGTGAGGTCTTTAAGTTTGATGACATCTTTTATCTTCATTACTGTCTTATATTTCTCCCACTGCAGTTTGGCTTGTGTGTTACATTTGCATTGCAGAAAGCATTTTGAATATAGAACAATTTGCTAGATTTAACTGATTTAGTATTTTTTTATACATATGCCCAAATGCTTAACCGTAGAAGATAGCATGCATAGAGCACATGAATAATATATACTTCGTGTTGTATGTATTGTTGTGTAAGTTCATCGACTTGATTGAGAAGTCGATATGCATTCACTGGACAACCATATCGGCGGAGGCATATGGTTTGAGCCTCGTATTGTATCAATCGTAAGGCACTTTTTCTTGTATTGGCTGTGGCATCATCCATTTTCAAATAATTTCATCGATCTAAATAATTACAATGAATTGAGATGATAGCAAAACATTTGTAATTGGTGGGCCACCTTCAACTTTGTCGTCTTATTAAACCTCGAAAGATGCTTCTTGATTCATGCGCTAATCATTGATTTGCCATCATCATCTTTTTAATAACCTCACGTGGTGATCATTATTAAAATAGGAGCATAAACAAAGCCTACCCTGAAGAATTTATTGAGAATGTGAATTTTAAAAGTAAGATAGGTCCGGAATCAATTCCGATCTACTTAATCGAATCGGTTAATCATACTAATTGGTTTGTCAATTAATTTAATATATATATATATATTCAAATGAACCGATTGAATCGAATTGAATCTTGGTCTAGTTGGATCAACATGACGAAACTTTTGAAGTTGGACTCATGTAATATTGAAATTGGACTAACATCTCAATTGTATAAATAATATGATCATGGAACCCAAATACCCAAAGGAATTTTGTAAAATCAGTTCAGTTTAGTTTAAACATGTTCACGGAATTTAAGAAATATATATTCGAATCAAAATTGTTTATAGTTTCTAAAATCAAATTATTGATGAACCGATTTAGACCGAAATAATTTTGGACTGGTTTGAGTTTTTAGGTTTGATTTGAATATCCCTAGCACAAATGCAAAATCCTTACTGCACCTTCAACTTTGTTAGCTATAATCCTAACAATGTAACCCATAAGATATCAGGATATATAACCAGGAAAATTATCTATCACCGGTTTCTATTCATCAATCCATTTCCTTCGGACTAGCCATCAATTCAGAGCACATATGTGATGCCCTGCTGTCTGAGGGGTCGAACAACACAGTAGAATGACCCCAAAAACAATAACACAAGCAACAAAATTCAGAGCTACCAGTCAAAGAAGCTCACTCGAGTTCTCCTATGTACAGTCCGGTATAAGATATCAGAACACCGCAGTTGCTTTCTTCTCTTTGCAGTGATACAGAATCCATTTTTAGCTTCTTGATGCAACGTCAGGAGTTTTAATTGTGATGAAGATTTGTGCTAAAAGAGATCCCAACGTATAATCTACTCCTTGACATCATTATCTGAATCAAGACTTTGTCTTACTTTATCAACCGGAAAGTGGCTTTGTATGGATTGCTTTGTTCTGAGTTCATCGGCTCCATCATCTACTTCTCAACGTGTGTTCTTCTCAGTCAAGCATGGCGGTATCCTTTTCAGATCCTCTTTTCTTCATGCGATAAATTGATTCATAGACTGCTCTTGCAAAATAGCTACAGCAGAAGCTTCTGCGTGTCAAAAATCTTACATTTCAATGGATTTGACTTCCGTTGCTTTGATGAAATCTATGTTGTTTGATTTGAATAATCTTAGCTGGCGAACGACAGCAAAGAGATCGAGGTATTTGACGAGTCGGGTCAACCCAACTAGGATTTAGATGCACTGTGATTGCAACTGTATCAGTGACAGAAATTAATCTTCCCCTGTTCAGGAAACTCAAATCAGGATTACCCTCCACCTGCAAGTCTCAGCATGGGTTTGACACCCATTGAAGTCATTAGAAGCACTCCTGGCGTCAATATGGTACATTAGAATGATGAACTTGCGATGATGACCACACGGCTCTGCAAAAGCAAGTTGAGATCGCAAAAAGCCAATTCGTAGGAGGATGTTTCGAGGAATAAAAAAGATACAGTGTTGCAGATGAGCCAAGTCATAGCTAACAGTCAAAGCACCTGTAATTCCGAATTCTCCTATGTACAGTTTGTTTACTGCCAGTGCAGATAATATTCTCATCTTTGCTGCGTTCTAAAATTCTTTTTGTTTCTTGATTCAATCAATGTCGAGACTCTTATTCTAATCTGAAATTACAGGAGAGATTCAAACTTACAATAGGAAAATGCACTCATCGACATCAAATATATTCTAATGGACTGTCAACATTAAGCAGCAGTTGTGTACAGATTGCATGACATCATCGTCTCCATCATGTACTTGTCATAAACCAAGACATTATCATTTTTCGGATTCAGCACATGTCTAACGTGAATGTATCTATCGAGTTTCTGCATCTCTTTGATGAAATTTATGTTGTTTAATTGAAACAACAATACCAAGGCATTGCCACGAGAGTCGGATGACTGTGATTGGAACAACCTTCGTCCAAACATGTCGCTGTCGAGGACGAACTAATCTTCCTAGGTCAAGAAGCTCGATCGTTTTAACGTTTGAAGACTCGATTTAAGGTCAACCATACCAGCTATCATCCGGTAATTGCTTCCACCGAAAAGTCATACCATTGTTATAGTTCATTACCTTTGGAAGTCAACTAATTCATTCTGGATATGGATATGGTATGTTAGAACGATGAATTGGTGTCGACGTCCACACGGCTATCGAAGAGCATGTCAAACGCTCGAAAAGTCAATTCGTATTGGCTCATAGTTTAGATCGATCGGCACTCCAAAAAGAAGACTACTCAATCGATTCCCTTTGTCTCCTATATAAATGCTCGTCGTCAGCTTCCCGGATGCAAAAGAGCCAACCATCGACCTGAAAGATCACTGATTCGTCTCGATCCTGTTTCATTCATTACGTTGTACGTCTTCATGGAGAGATCAAAATCGATCGTCAAGCAGGCCTCTACGTGTGGGAAGTTGATCACCATTCTGAGCATAGATGGGGGCGGAATAAGAGGAGTTATCCCTGCCACCATCCTCAGCTTCTTGGAGTCGGAGCTTCAAGTACGAGATGCATCGAGGGCGAGTTGACAAGCTGCAGTAACGATTAATCTATCATCACGGATCACTGAAATCTTGCACTCTATCCGGTGCAGAAACTCGACGGTGACGACGTAAGGATTGCAGATTATTTCGACGTGATCGCTGGAACAAGCACCGGTGGTCTCGTCACAGCGATGTTAGCAGCACCTGACGAGAACAATCGCCCGCTCTTTGCAGCCAAAGACATGAAGTCTTTTTACCTTGAACACAGCCCAAAAATCTTCCCGCAAATTGGGTACTTGGAAGCATCTTAAACAATAATTTTTTATGATCACGGTAATATATCTGATCACCAACTTAATTTTCTTGTGTTTAGAGGATTTCTGGCTCCAGTTAGAAGGATGTTCCGATCTCTATGGGGACCCAAGTACAGCGGCACATATTTGCACTCTCTTATCAGGGAAAAGCTAGGAGGTGTGCGTTTGCATGAAACCTTAACGAACGTGATAATCCCTACTTTCGATATTAAGCAGCTCCACCCAACCATCTTCTCCAGCTATGAGGTATCGACTCTCATGCTCACCTGCATCATATTTTTCTACTCGATAGTCTAACTATGATCATAGTATACAAGACAGTATTGCAGCTATAAGCCTTACGTTTAGAATCCACTGTTGATAGCCAAAAAGGCGACTAACTGAGACGCTTACATTCCAAAATCCCATGGGTAACTTGCGACTAACATAAATTACTCTGATGTTTTACTTAATATGGCCCCAAGAGATGTAGTATCCACAATCTTACCTACCAGTCCAAATCTTAACATCTCGAATGTGCATGGCATCCGCTTCATCTGCAAATTCTCTGATAATGGGGGAAAGAAGATGGTGCAGAATTGGCACTTTCGAGAAACGCAATACACGGATCTAATATTGTCCGAAGCTGTTGCAGGTGAAGCGTAAGAGCAGTTTGGATGCCTGCCTCTCCGACATCTGTATCGGCACGACCGCAGCTCCGACGTACTTCCCAGCCCATTACTTCGAAACAAAGGATTCCGAAGGGAGCAGTAGTCGGGAGTTTCACCTCATTGATGGTGGAATAGCCGCCAACAACCCGGTAATTCTCCTGTCAGTTCAATTGACGCTCTTCGACGCTGTAAACTCTAGTTGTTCTGATCTCTCTAAGCTCGACTTCCAGGCGTTGGTTGCTGTGGGAGAGGTGACGAAGGAGGTGCACAAGAAGAACCCAGATCACTTCAATCGCGAGGCCGTGGACTACCGTAAGTTTCTACTGATATCACTAGGCACAGGCTCAGCTAAGGTCGAAGGGAAGTATCGTGCGAAGAGCGCAAGCCGGTGGGGAGTTTTCGGCTGGCTGCTTGGTGGTGGATCTACTCCTTTAGTCGATGTGTTGATGCAGTCATGTGCTGACATCGTTGACATTCATCTCTCGGTGGTGTTTAAAGCTCTTCGATCAGAGTCCAATTATCTTCGCATCGAGGTACCAGCAACGGCTCTTCATTCCCTGACTTGGCTTACAGATGTAGCTCTACTGATGATCATGTTCGTCTTTGATGCAAAGTGTAGGATGACACCTTAACTGGGGCAGTCTCATCTGCTGACATCTCTACAGAGGAGAACCTTGACGATCTTGTGAGTGTAGGAGAGAGGCTACTGAAGAAGCCAGTTTCAAGGGTCAATTTGGAGACGGGCGTTTTCGAACCGGTGGGAAATGGAGAAGGAACAAACGAAGACGCGCTCAGAAGGTGGGGAAGTCATCAGAAAATTTCTACAGATTTCGTTGGTAAGCCATACTATGCAATCTATGGAATTTGATCGGTGCATTCTCGAACTCTTTGTAGGTTTGCGAGACTTCTGTCGGATGAGAGACGACTCCGTAAACTTCGATCTCCAGCCAGTGGTGGAAATCACCATCGAATTCAAGAATACGTAACTCCAAAGGATCGGATACGTGCCGTAAAAACTACACGAGCTATTCCAACTTCTTCCTAATTGCTTTGGTAGAAGAACTGCACATTTAGCATCGTGATAATTGAAATCATGATGAATCATAGATTAGCAATTAAATTTGGAAATACATCCGGAATAAATTTGTAGAATGATTACTTCATTTTGTTTTCCCCCTTTTGTAAATAGAAGTCGTTTCAGAAATCAACTAGCGAAACAAAAGCACATTACACACATTACACACTGATAGAAGATAAGATTTCTCCAAAATCTCTCTATTCTGTTAAGAAAAATCCTTTCTCCTAATTTGTATAAATAGGAGAGGGAACATGAAAAATCCATGAAAAATCCTTTCTTCTAATTTGTATAAATAGGAGAGGGAACATGAAAAATCCATGAAAAATCCTTTCTTCTAATTTGTATAAATAGGAGAGGGAACATGTTAATTAACATGTATTGAAACATTTTTCATTTCTTCAATAAAGTTTCTTCACTTCTTCAATAAAGCTTCTTCAGTAATTATTCGTATCTTCTATTCTTTTTATCATGGTATCAGAGCAGTGAGAAAAGCGAAGTTTCGCCTTTGGCCAGCGACCAACGTCGTTGAGAAAAGTGAAGCTTCGCCCTTGTCTTCGGCCAGTGACCAACGTCATTGCAGCCACATTCCTAAGAGGCTCCACGGCTAATCCTCATCTTCCTCACCGCGATAGCCTTTGCTGCCTTCGCTGATCTGCCAACAGTTGTGCCCTCATAGCAACAGCAATTCGTAACAATAGCAGTGATTTGCTCTTGCTGGAGCACCATCTTACGGGGGCATGATAGAAGATAAGATTTCCTCAACTATATGAGGAAATCTCTCTATTCTGTTGAGAAAAATTCTCTATTCTGTTGAGGGAAATCCTTTCTTGTATAAATAGAAGAGGGAACATGTTAATGTATTGAAGTATTTTTCATCTCTTCAATAAAACTTTAGGAGAGTAGAATCAATCTGCTTATATATTTAGATTGAACGAGCAAATAGCTTTTAGAATGTGTGTTCATGGTCACAGCGAAGTAATCGATAATAATCCAAGAATTGAAAGGTCAATTGCTAATGTTAGGAACAGAAGCTAATGAGCATCTTCTTCTTATGTTTCTGCTAGAGAAATAGAAAGGGAGACCCTCACACACACTGGTGGAATCGCCACGCAGACCACCTCAGGAAACACCCATTGAACATGGCTCATTTGCTACCGTTCTTTCTTCTCGTGCATTATAGATGGCTTTCTGTACGCCGATTCCCAGTTTAGATGATACATCCATTCTGCTTTTGACGGTCTCATTCAGTCAACCTAGCAGTAATCGGCAAGGAGTTCAGTTGTTGATCGGGAAGAAGCTTCCATGAATCCAAACTGATATTAACGGAGGGTGGACATTCAAAGAATCGATGCTGTTCTTCTTCCTTTGCTTAGTGCAAATGGTCGCCAGACATGGCGGTCTGGTTTCATTTTCTGTTCCTTCTTTTCTTTTTAGAACTGCTCGAATGAAATGGAACTGATCCTTAATTATTCTGAGCCCAAGCCTGAGAAACAGAGACATTATGTCTGGTTGATTAAGCAAACATGATGCTATTTTATACCTTCTTTTGGTTGATTAAGCAACCAGCAAACAAAGCAATGGAACAAGATCATCATCTGCACTCCCTGACTAACTACTCTAATCTGTAGCATAAGACTCATTAGATTTATATCATGGCTAAATTTTTATTATGATACCTAAGTTCCTACGTTAGAATAGAATAATGACGGCAACTATATGTATCATGAACGGTAACTCTGCATTTTCGCTTTGGCTGCTAATCATCGCAAATAGAGAAAGCTTCCACTTAGATTCTGCTCATGACGACCATCCAATTAGTAGGAATTCTAAAGCCCTATATGTGGGGGATACCATAGCAACAAGAACGGCAGTGAAGCAAAGAAATCATGCTTGATGATATATATATAAATATAAAAAGTTATATATGTATTATTTGACTGAACATTTACTAATTTAATCTTTGATTAATCACTTTAAGCCATTATTCTTGGCCTCAAACATGCAACACCAGAAGGTTATGGAGTTTTACGGTGGTGGAAATGCACAAAGAAACACTTCAATATATATATATGTATGTATATCCAGCATACACTCGTCACTTCCTCCCCAAACCATCCTCGCCTCTATCGGAGAAAAGGCATCCTGAAATCGCCAAGATGAAGCCGCTGTTGTGCATTTGTGTTCTTCTCATTGCACTCATCTCCACAGGTGAAGCACTCTTGTCCGAGGGAAGGCATCCGACGGCAAAGAAGCACGAGTCCAAAGGATGCAAGCACTGTGCACCTCAGGGTGGAGGTGATAGCACGGAAACCATCAGCGGAGCGGTCTTATCTGCGGAAGCGCATCCGATGGCAAAGAAGTACAAGCTCAGGGGATGTAAGCGATGCGCACGTCGAGTCGGCGACGACGTCAGGAGCGCAGTCTCCATCAAAATCGCGGTCCGTGAACTCGTCGCCACCACCGAAAACGTTCGACCTTCGACGCCTGGTCACAGCCCAGGTGTAGGCCACTGGCTCAACGGAGTGGACTCGGAAGCGCAGCAGAGAAATCCGTAAGGAGTTCACCGGTGGCATCTGCTACATGCACATAAGAGTGTCTTGCTTCAGATATGTTCCATAGTTTGATCTTGGCTTCTCTCCATTCATTCTTGTGGCAAAAAAATAGAATAAGAAGAGAGAGAAGTAAGAGAGGTGAAGTATCATCCATGGTTGTATGTATGTAAGAAAAAAAGATGAGGAAACTTCCATGTTCCAATCTTTTATTGCAAGTTCTATGCTGTTCCTTCTTTTCTATTTTGTTGGCATTGTATTCATCTTAAAGATCGAGAAGCAAAAGTAGGCATCAAAATATTGTTGCATTAATCTTCATAAACCAAATCATCAAACTAGAATTTGGGCAATGTTACCTCAGTTACTTCTCTGATGAACAGAGTTTTTTGTGCCATTGAATACCCACAAAATTCCAATACTGCAGTCCTCCGGTCAATGAAGTGAGAAGCAAATTTGTATATGATATAATGAGCTTATGCTTTCTAAAGGTAACATAATCTATTTCAAGTCCTGAAAAATTACGAGGCCATAGGCCATCAATCAATTAAGCTATAGCTTCTAATGTGTGCAGTAGTTCATAATTGTTCAGACAACCACCATTCTTCCTCTGTCCCATGGCATAGAACTCTTTTAGAAGATAGAAGAATCTCTCCCACGATTCCTCACTAGTGTAGCCATTCTTTATAAGATTTGATGCATGGTCAAACATAATGAAAGATGATCTGTGGCGCACAGGCTAGCAAAGTGAAGAGCAAAGAATGGTGCTCAGCCTTCCAATTAGCTTTGAACAATAAAAAGAACTTTCCCTATCATGAGGAGCTCACAGAGTTCGCCGGAATCCAACAGTAATTCTTTCTTTCTGAGCTCTACTCGGGGCCACCCCATTGTAGTTTCAAGCCGACCATGGCTAGATTCTGTCCTATGGTTGGAATGCAATAGTTTCCTCACTTGGCTGTAATTGCAGCTGAAATGTCGATGATCAGACCGCAATTCAAAGACGCAGGCGAAGCCAGTCTCTACACAAAGGGCATCGAAGCCATCCATGTTTAGACTAAGGATCCCAATTCCCACTTGAAGGTGCAGTAAGGTATTCACGTGCCACGTAGAAAGTGAAATAAGATACGGCTAATTATTCGAAAAATCCGATGCAAATATATTTAGAACTCATATAAGTTGGGTCTTCATGTGCTACTGGAAAAGTGAACAAGAACAAACTTCATGTGACCAAAGAATCCAGTTACCTATTTATTGTCTTCATGTACCGCAAACTTAATGTGCTACTGGAAAAGTGAACAAGAAATTTTTAACGAATAATATTAAAAATCAACTAATTGTTTAAGCACCCAAACCGATCCAACCCACTTTTATTTCAACACTTGTATATCCACGTTAAATTTGATTCTTATTACCTATTTGTTGTGCTTGGTGTTGGTATAGCTCGGAGACACAATCACTACTCATCACTATCGCTCCTAACGAACTACCTCTTCCTATAGATTTTTTTCATCCTCCTTTCAACGCTTACTCTTTACGTCAACAAAGAGAAATCATCGGAAGAGATTCACATTTTCGATAGTAAATCAATTGAACTAACTCACCAGCTAAAAGGAATTATGGACCTATACTTTCGACTTACTAGTCGACGATCTCTACGTGTTAACACCTATGTACTATTAGGACCTTCTCCATAAATAGTAAATATAAATAATTTTTTAATATTTGAAATGCTACTATTAATCTTATTCACATTAACATGATTGAACAAATTATAAATGTAACCGAGAGATGCACGAGGATCAGCAAATAGATAATAAATCGATTTGTGTAAGAATAATGAAACCAAAGAGAAGCAACCAAACGTTCAATATCTCATCCAATAAACATATTTGAAATATTGTGTGTTAAATCGTGTGTCAAACCCACTCTGACTGTTTGATAGCAAATTCAAGGATCAAAATGCATCATCATCACTAATCATATAAAAAAAAAAAAATTATTTGAAAATAAATAAATTAAGATACCGATAGAAAAAAATATTTAAAATCTAAATATTTTCTAGAAAAATCATCCAAGAACGAAAACATGGTACTCTTTTCCTATCGGATGATTGCTTCCAATGTCTCTTTTCTCTCCCTAAGTTGCCTTTTATCACAAAGCCAGTCCATGGAGATCACAGATGAACACGGCATGGATTAATTAGGTTCGCGAAAAAGAGTCCTCTCCCACCCATTCATGGCAGGAGATGACTTGTCGTTGTAGCTGAACTCGATACCGTCGATAAAGAGTCCTTTTCTACGCATGCACGGCTGTTGCTTGCTTTGCCCTGAAGCCATTTCATTTGCTTGCTCAGAATTTACAGAGGAGGAAAGGCGACGCAAGCTGCAACGCCATGCGTGGGGAGTGCGGCACCGGTGACTGATCCATGTA